CCCCGCCCCCCCCATTTTTGTCTAAATGTTTTGTATTATTCCTGAATTTTGTTTACTCTGTGACATGCTGTTGGGTATCCATGATAACCCTAAACTGGATTTTTAACTCTGTGTCTCTTTTGGGACTCACTATAAAAGTATGTCATTAATTTGTATATTTAATAATGGGCAGAACCTTATTTTAGGCTGCATGAATATGGCAGAATGTAATGCAAGATGTCCTTTGCTTATCAAAAGTCATATTTTAATGCATGTCAGTGAAGACTTGGAAAAATAAGAGGTACAAAATTTAAATTGTCAGACACACAAATCCATTGGGTAAAACTTTGCAGGTATCAACTTCATTTATTACTGGAGGGTAATACGGAGTGTGATGAGGTATATTTAATTTTGCTTTGTTCAATGTGGAATGTTTTTCCTGCAGTCTGAAATACAGAGCACTCTGGCACAAGGTGTTTTTAAGGCTGCAACTTTCTAGCTTTCAGCTCAGATAAATTCATTGCAATGTATGCTCTCTAAGGGCTTAATCTTGCACAATTGACATTAGGATGTGATCCAGTTCCTATCCTGAGGGTGGCTGCTGTAAACACTATAGTTTCGGTTGTTTTAAAACTTGCTTACAGTTGACTTTGTAAAGTTTTGAGACTTGCAAACCATTACAGTTTTTATTACAGTAAAAAAGCGCACACGTGAGAGAATATTAACACTTTTTAAAATAGGCTTTTGTCTGTCGTTCACACAAACAGTTTAGTTTCCCCTCTTTAAATGTTGCAGTCCATCAGTACCAAAGTGGACTAGTACCTCTGGGGGCTCTTGTGAGAATTCCAAAGAGAATTAATTTAATCGTCTTAACAAAGAAATTCTGCAATTTTCCCTCATAACTCAGCAGAAATGCTGTGAAATTTTTAACATGTAGTCCATACGTGTTAGTGTCCCCAAGCAATTGTCTGGCTTTGTGGGCTCCCTGTTAGAGAGAAATAAATGCAGTGTGTGTTTTGAAAATAATTTGAAATTTCATATATCATGCACTTCACTTACATGTAATGAATGAATGCATGTATTGTTTAACCTGGGTAACACCATTGTGTTACCTATTGCTCACATTGTAACAAACCTAAGTTATCTGCCTGGTAAGTTCATAAACTGCTCCAGGGTGTAGGAATTCTTGGTCCCATCTTGTACTTTGTAACAGTTTGTACCCTGCTTGAATATGTAAAGGACTTCGAACAGAATAGGTCCTGTCAAATTTCAGGGTTGCCATCAGGACCATAAGGTGCTCTGAGAAACAAGTTATTGAACTTTGTTTGCATAGACTTAAGGTAAATGCATCCTCCAGGAAAGCATAAAGCCTCTTTGCAGTCCAAAAAATACAGTTGGGGAAGAGAGTGCAGTGGTTGCAATGGATAGTTTTGTGTTCAAAATATTCAACTAAGTCTGTTTGTTCTTTTTTTTTTCCCCCCTTTTGCTTTTAGGAATATGGCCAGCAGCCAAAAACTCAGGAAGGGGAGCTGAAAATCAGCGCTGTATTTTCAGTCAGTGGCAGCCCTCTTGGTAAGGAACAGGAGAGACCAAACTTAGTTAAAATTGTACACATCTGTTACATTCCACATTTGTTATTTCTAACTGCAGTAGAAATGAAGTCTGGTTTGATATAGACGCTTTGGAATATCTGTGGTTGGAGATTACAAAATACTTTAGAATCAAGTACTTAATCTGATACGGCAGATTTAATTTTAGCAATGGGTGAAACTTGCTGCCATGCAGAAGGCCAGCACAAGCCACATACATTTGCATAGCTTATGCAGTCCTGAAGTCTCACTTCAGGGAAGAAGTTAACTCAGTGCATTTTAGCTGGTAGTATATACTTTTTCTTGTTTTTCTAGCTCCACAGCTGACATCAGGTTTCCAGCCTGCTGTGGCATCCTCTGGTGTAAATAAAATGCTTCCTTCAGTTCCAACCACGGCCATTCGGGTTTCCTGTTCTGGCTGTAAAAAAATCCTCCAGAAGGGGCAAACGGCATACCAGAGGAAAGGCTCGACTCAGCTCTTCTGCTCCACACTGTGCCTCACTGGATATACTGTTCCAGCTTCTCGTCCACCAGCTTCTACCAAGAAAACCTGCTCAAGTTGCTCGAAGTAGGGCAGCATTTTAGTTTCTTGCTCTATCCACTAATATTCGGACAAATGGCATCATATTGTTAAAGAAAATTTAGCTTGCTAATTGCCGCTATCTTTTTCCCATAGTGCCCACTCACTTCCACTGATTAAAAATGTTTCTTTCTCTGTTGACTGAACTGTCTGCAAATGGTAGCGTGAGCTCACTTTCCTGTTGCTGGACAAGGACTGTATTATGCAGCTATATATGCTTTTAAACCTTTTCTGTCTACCATAGTTTTCTTGCATACAATACATTGGCAAAAACTGCTGGAAATTGGAGTGCACATTTTTGTGAGAAATACAGTAAAAGCAGTTTCTGCTGCTTACCAGCAGAAAAGTGAAAGTAAAATCTTCAGCCGTCCACAGGAAACAGAACACAGAGCAGGCTTTGCTCCCTAGCCACTGCTACTTAGTTACTTACTGTAAGGAAATATCTTTTTTTATTCTGCCTTTCAAAAACAAGATGTATATAATAGTTGAGGGGGTGTTGTATGTGAGAAAATATGGTATGCTTTTTAGACCTCTCACCCAGAAGTTCAAACCTTTTTATTTGCATTGAAAATTAACTGCAATAAAAATGTATACCTGAAGACGTACTGAGTTTCCCCCCACCCCCCACTTCAGATAATGCAGTCTTACATAATCTTACTCATTTCATGTAAGTTTTTGGAACACATCTAATGTGATTCTTTCATCTTAAAAAAAATACTTTGGCTTTAATAAGTTTAAAGTCACGTTTTAATAGTTGAATGTTTGGATCAGATTTCATGAGATTGACTAAAAATTGAAGTTTGATGACTAGATCGGAATGCTTCACAAAGAGTATACGCTGTCCATTCCACAAGACTTGGTTTTTCTGTGACTAGAAAAGTCATTTCAGGGCACACCGTTAGCACGTTATCATTATGTAATATTTGTTAATCTCTGCTAACCTGAAAAGCAATGGCATTATTGAACACAAAGCATTTATTTTGACATGGGGCATAATAGGTCTCAAGTCTCATATGCTTGCTTCCTCTGCCCAGTATGGAAAAATGAACCTTCCCTTATAGGCATAATTGGGAAGAAACCTCCCCTGGATAATAAGTAAGCCTCTGTTTTACAGTCCTGTTAAAATTTTGAGCCAGAATTTCTCTCCTGCTCTAGAACCAGTTTTAATTGTTATAAGCAGTGTTGTGACAAAAAACTATTTCCAAGCTAACCTAAGAGAGATTTTGGGAATCACTGTTCAAACTACCATCAATATCAATATACTGTAACTTGAGACAAATTAATACCTCTCAGCTGAATTGTGGCAGGATTTGCTTATCAAAGGGAATTCTTCATAGTTACGTTTTTAGTTATGAAAGTCATTTTGCAAAATGAGTGCACCTTTGTTTTTAAATTACTTTTCGACTTTAACAACAGATTTGTTACCTTTAGATTTACAAGGTCAGCTTAACATAAAAAAGAAATCGGCAATTTATTATTTTAAGTATTTGATGCATCACTGTAAAATTTCACGTATCAATGTCCAGTTGTCTTATCTGCGATCTGCATTTATGGGTAAAGAATTCATTCTCTGTAAGATATATGGTGCTGTTTTAAACTTTTACTGCATGTATCCTTCCAACAAAAATGTTGAGATAAAAGATTGTTCTCTAGGAAACTTTAAGGCAATTTAGTCAAAATAGGTGCAGTGTGTACAGGAACAGATAGGAAGGGGAAGAAAAGAAAGGCTAGCAAGTAAATCCAGCAAGTAACTCTCTCAAGTAGAGCAGCAGAAGAGGACAATGGAGGAAGAATTGGAACAGTAGTGGTCAAGTCAACATGGGGTGATGGAGTTGCATTCTTTTTGTAGGTTTTTTCTTCCCCTTTGATCAATATAGATCTTTTTAAAAGAACTCCTTCAAATTTTAATTCAGGCATCCTGCATTCTGAAATTTATCATGCACAGCTTATATCTCTCTTCCCTTTACTGAATTTAAAAACAGAATTACAATTTGTTTAGTTGTTACTTTATGTTAATTTATAAAGCGTGTAACTTTGGATGATCGTTAAAGTAGTTACACACAAATCCATCCTTGAAAATAAGATTTTAAACCAGGAAGGCCATTTTGTTGTATTTTGCTGGGTTAGACACTCTTCGAATTATGGCTGAAAAAGACTGGTCTATCTAAAGTAAGCCCACAAAGGTGTGAAAGGCTTTCTTATCATAACACTTTTTCTCTTCTAGACAGGCTGAATAAAAAAATTAATGAATCTTTTATTTATGTTAAGTACAAACCTGCCTTCTGAAAATTTAAACTTATGTCAGCCTACATTACACCCTAAACTTACTATACTCAAAATCATTTAAATAAAAAAAATAAAGTTGATATTTGTCTTATTTTACCAAAATGTTAAAGAAAATTTATCCTCAGAGATGGTGGAAGTCATGGGTTAAGTTCCTGAAAGTATAGCTGAAGAATAGAAATGCCTTCTTACAGGAGTAGCTTCTTCTGGAGGTACAGAGAGAGAATTTGTTCGTTTTAGTTTAATTCAATTCAATGTGTAGTTTGTTGATAGAGGGCAGGCCAGTTGATTGGAAGTTGTAATACCAGGGCAATTCATTTTAAATCATAGATTGGAGGAAGAAAACAAAATATAGGAGATAGGTCTACTCTTAAAATTTTTAGAACAAAGTGACCAGAAACAATGTTTAATGTACTAATTACATTAAATTTAATATTTATTAAAACAGTTAAGTGTCAGTGGAAAACAAGTTTTGCTGAACTGTTGCTGCTTTCTTACATGTAGCACTTTTTAAAGTACTTTTATATAACTAATATAAACAGTTTAATTTTTTATGCATTTTAATTCCATTCTAATCTGAATGCATCTTAACACAGATCACAAGTAAAATATTAATCTTCCTATAAAATAAAGATGTTACCACTTTCTAATATAATATGTAAAAATTAAGAATCTGAATAAATGTATATTAAACTATCTAGTTGCTTAGGTAAATATGTATAGATAAATTGTATCCTCCCGCATAGCAAAGAGAAGTGCAAAACTTACTGGTTTGCAACTAAATACAGTGTTTACACTATTTCAAAGATTACCAATCAGTGAGAGTTGACCTTTCTTTTGGAAAATAACTAAAAACTATTGTTGCATTACCCCTCCCCCCACCCTCCAAAAATGCCTGAAGTCATTCATGTAAATCAGCACAGAGAAAACTTCAGTTTAAATCAATTATCTTCATTCTAAAGAATGTGGTTTGTCTCTGGCAGGCTGATATGAAGCTGAAATGTATTCTTTGTTTCCATTATTATAGAGACATTTTAAATCCAAAGGATGTAATCACTGCCCAGTTCGACAATACAAACTCCAGTAAGGATTTCTGCAGCCAGTCGTGTCTCTCTACATATGAACTGAAAAGAAAACCTGTTGTTACTATTCACACTAACAGCATTTCAACCAAGTGCAGCATGTGCCAGAAGAATGCAGTGGTAATTTATGTGCAGTCTTCTGCTTTTTTATTTGAACTTCCTGCAAATCAGAACAGTTTAAATGCCTCTGACACCAAATTCTGTATTACTTGGCGGGTTTGTTTTTTTTTTCAGATTAGACATGAAGTGAATTACCAGAATGTTGTACACAAGCTCTGCAGCGACGCCTGCTTCTCGAAGTTCCGTTCTGCTAATAATTTGACTATGAACTGCTGCGAGAACTGTGGGGGCTACTGTTATAGTGGCTCTGGCCAGTGCCACATGCTTCAAATAGAAGGCCAGTCAAAAAAGTTCTGTAGTTCAACATGTGTCACGGCATACAAACAGGTACTTTTTTGATACTTACGTCAGATATGCCATGGATTGAAAGCTTATCTGAATTCATAAGGATAGATTTTCATATATAAAGACTAGAAGTTGTTAATAGCAGGCTTCAGTTCTTCCTAGGTTTGCTTGGGATATTTGCCTTTATGCTGCTTGCATAAGGTGACCTAATACTTAAAGGGAGGTAGAAATGGTTTATTCTCATCTCTTCTACTGACTCTGGGCATGCCACTTGATTTCTCTTTGCCTCCATCTGTAAAATAGAGATGTTGCTTATCAACCTTAGTGATATTTTAACAGTAAATGTTAGTAAAGTGTTCTAGACACTGATAGATACCCTACTGGATATGAGGAATTATGATTTGTGTTATAGAAGGCATGAGACATCCTAGTGCCAAAACTGGGAATATTTAAACACACCTGTCTTGGCAATAATGTGAGAGATCATTTGGATATAACCAAAATGCCTGAAGACAAAATTGCAATGATAGAGAGGAATTTATACTCTAAATACTACTGTAATTTCTTGAGAAATCTTATTTTAGACAGACTGGCTTTCATTTTCATACACATATTCTCTACAAGCTGGGTTAATTTGCATATTAAAGTTCTAGATAAATGACCTATTTTATTCTTTCCACAGAAGTCAGCAAAAATTACTCCCTGTGCACTGTGCAAGTCCTTGAGATCTTCAGCTGAGATGATAGAGAGCACAAATAACTTAGGAAAAACTGAACTGTTTTGTTCAGTTAACTGCTTATCAGCATACAGAGTTAAAATGGTTACTTCTGCAGGTAACTTCCTTTGCCTTTTGTTTTATCTGCATAATTCCACCTAGTTGTTTATCTTGGTTGAAAGCAAGGTTTAAAAAATTGGCCAATAAGATTGAACCAAAAGTAACATTCTTTTCCGGAGCATACGCAATTGGAATGACTACAAATGTTAGATATTTGAATAACACTAATGTATTTCACCAAGAAAAACTAAAGCTTTTCACCGACATTTAGTTAGCTACCTCTTCTGTTGTGTGTCTGTGTGTGTGTGCATGCACAGGCACTTATAAACTGTCAAGCTTATAGCTCTAGAATGCACGTAACCCTATGCACCTGGACAGCTGTTATTGTGGAGTGAGAGGTTGAACACTGGGCAGTGGACAACTTTTCCAGTCAGCTGAGCTAGAGCTGTGCTGGCCTTGTAGCTGGGACACTGCACCCTATGCCCTGCCAAGTCCTGCAGATCAGCTAATCAGTGGGGTTGACCAGAAAAGCCCCTGGGTCCTGGACACTGCCACCCCATGTCTGGTCCCCCGGTCTGAACTTGCAAGGGGGCAGGAGCACTGAGTGCCCTGACCATTTACTCCTAAAAAGTCTAGCAGGGAGCCAGCCACTCAGAGCAGGACACTGTGAAATACTGGGGCTACGTACAGAAGTTCAAAAAGCCCAAGATCCAATCTTCTCAGGTTTTTCTAAGCTGAGTAGCTTGAACCAGTAACAAACTGAACTGACATTCAGCGTTTGGGTGGTCAAGACAGGCAGTAGCCTGCACTGGCCCAGGCCAGGAGCCTGGGGACACTCACGCACACCACCCCTTCATGGTCACCTGCCTAAGGCTGCTGACCCAAGCCCAGTGGCAGCCCAGGCCTGATTGGCTGCTGGACACATGCTATTTCCCCCACCATCTCACTGTCAGCCACAGGGAGAGGCAAGCCAGCAGAAAATCTCTCCCCAGCCCCTGCCCCTGCCCCTGAGAGGGTAGTAGGGACGGGGAACACACTACCTGGCTCTGGCCCCCCCTCCTGGGATCTGCCTGGCATGAGGGAAAGACCCCAACTGGGGGCTTTTCACCCCCTGCAGCTTGGGTAGCAGGGCTCTGATTGGCTCATCACTGCTTCCTCCCCACACCTGTGAGAGGTGGTTTTGGGAATGCACACAAAGAGCCTGACACTGTCCATCCCAGCCAGGGTCTGCCCAGTGTGGGGAAAAGACCCTACTGAGGTTTTCGCTCCCCTGTAGCCCAGCTCGCTGGGCTGGGGTTTGGTCAGCTCAGCCCTGCCCCCTCCCCAGCCCCCCCACCTGTGAGAGGCAGGGGGGGCAGAGAGGGGAATGCACCGAGCCAGGGTCTGCCCAGGATGGGGTGGGGTGGGGAAAGCCCCTACCAGGGGTTTTTCATAACCCTGCAGCCCACTGAGCCAGGTGGGGATGAGCTGCACCCCCTCCTGGGAAGGGGACGGGGCTGAGCTGATCCCAGGCTGGGTCACTGGGCTGTAGGGTTACAAAAAGCCCCTGGTGGGGCCTTTTACCACCCTGTCTCAGGCAGACCCCAGCTGAAGGGGCTGGTGCCCTCCCCCACCATTGCCTCTCACAGGTGGGGGCCTGGGGCAGGGGTGGGGTGAACCCATGGCAGTCAGGCTGCAGAGGTGCAAAAAGCCCCTACTGAGGGCCTCCCTTCTGTGAGGGCTTCCCTTACACCAGGCAAACCCCAGCTGGGGGGCCCAGTGCCTAGCTGGGCTGGTGTGTTAATGCCCCCCCCCCAGCCCCTGCCTCTCACAGGCAGGAATTGGAGAGGGTACAGGGCTGAGTTGATCCCAGCCCAGTAAGCCAGGCTGCAGGGAGATGAAAAGCCCCCAGTAGGGGTTTCCCCCCTCCTCCTCGTCCCCATGATGGGCAGACCATGGCGGGGGAGTGGGGGGTGGTGACGAGTTGGGCCTGGTGCATTCTTTCCCTACTCCACCTCTGCTCTTGGAGGTGGTGGGCTTGGGAAGAAGCTGGGCTGAGCTAATGCCAGCCCAATGAACTGGGCTGCATGGGAACAAAAAGACCCCAGTAGGGACATTCCCCCTGCACCAGGCAGACCCCAGCTGTGGGGGCCAGGACCAGGACCAGGTTGGTGTGGTTCCCCCCCACCCCTGGCTGGGGGCTGGAGAGGAAATGGGGCTGAGACAGCCTTGCTCGCCTAGCTGCTCCAAGGGCAAAAAGCCCCCACTGCTGGGGCTTTCCTTTCCCTTATCCTGTACAGATTTGGGGCTAGGGGGTTCAGGGGTCCATTTCCTTGTTGTCCCCCCTCATCGCACCGGGCTGACAGGTAGTGCCTAGGAGCAGAGGCTTTAGTGCTTTAGCTCTGTGAGAGAGGGGCCAGCCCTGCTCCAACAGAGCAGACAGCACAGCCCTGGGCTGCAAAGCATTCTGGGATACTGGGGGACTCTGAGTTAACTTGAATCGAAAAGGGATATGGGACAGAAGTTCCGTTAACTGGTTTGACCTAAATCAGTTAAGTCTGATACTATGTCTAGCTAGGTTCATCTTAAACCAGTTTCAGCCATTTTGAAAGAGGTTTGCATGCCCTGAACTTCTGTTCTGTTGCAGGTTTAAACCAGTTTTGGATCACTTACACCAGCTTATGTGTAACGTCTACCCCTAGCCTGGGAGTCCTAATGTCTGTTACTGCATCACGTAAATGTGCAGGCATTACGGGTGATGCTAGAAAACTTCCTAAAGGAGGGAAGTGGTTCTTCTTCCACCAAAAATGCTAGCTCTTTGTGCCAGCAAAAAGGCATTTTTCCTCAGCAACATGTAACACACCTGTCCATAATCTTTAGGTGAGGAGGACCTAGAACTCTAGACAGCCAGCATCCCTAGTGAATGCTGTAACCACTGAGATACGGGGGCAGAGAACAGATGGGCACACAATGGCTTTTTCCTGTCCTGAGGCTGAGTGTGATAGTCATGAGTTCTGCCCAACACTTCTTTGTATCCAGAACTGCTATATGGCCTTAGGGGGCACGCACATGAGCACCAGCTGCTACTATTTATGCTCAGTTGATGTGATTTATGTAGTTGCTATCCAGGTGCGTAGGACATGCGCAGTAGAATACCAGCCTTTGTATAAGTGGTTTGGGGGGGGAACTTGTGTGATGAAAAAACGCCATGTAGACCAAATCTAGATGCCGAAGCAGACTGAAGAGAACAGAATGCCACCCTGCGTGTGACGGTGTTCGCTGGTCTTTGTTTTTTAAACACAGGAGTTGTTTTCTCTCTGTCTAGATGTCTGTCAGTTTTGTGATTGTGGAAATTGTTGGTCTCCCTATCCTATCTGTATCCCAACTCAAGCAAATGTTTTGTTCTGGTACTAATGCTTGAATGACGGTGTCTGTTTTCAATTAAGAGATTCGTAGCTAATTAACCATCTGCTCTTACTAGAGAATATACAGTATCACATTTTATGCAGACTGTTCTAGTACCACAGTATTAATAATTGTATTTTTATGAAGTATGTATATTCGGTGAAATGGTTAGATGTATTGATACCAGTAATCTGATGCTTGTCGCAGTTCATCTAGTTTCTTCTACACCATTCAGAAGTATTTTTATTTAAGCAGCAACTTCTGTGTTTCTTTTTTTGTTTTAAAGGGTGAATTTTAACATTACAAATGGCAGGGGTGGTCTCAGACCAGGAGTATTCCCCAAACTCTTGCATTTTAAGCTCAGAGCTGACACCTATTTCACTTGTGACCCTTAGGCAGTTACCTAGTTTCTCTGCCCCCCACTTGTTCTTATTGTAAAATGGGCAAACACTTGCTGACCTTTTTAAGGATGTTGTGAGGATTAAGTCAGTGTTCAACAAGCACAAAACACAGTTATTACAGGGCTTATATCAGGGTCCCATTAGTGCACTCAGTCCACTCTTACTCCAGTTTTTTCTTGTATGGAAAATTGTTCCTAATCTATTACAAATCTGTCCTTTTATTCAGAAACCTTCCTGTGTTTTTGTATGTACAGAAAACAATATTTATAATGCTTTTTTTTTCATCTTTATTCACTATTGTGTATTTCCCAATATTTTTTCAATCAGGTGTCCAAGTTCAGTGTAACAGCTGCAAAACTTCAGCAATCCCTCAGTATCACTTGGCTATGTCAGATGGGAGCATACGCAATTTTTGCAGTTACAGCTGTGTAGTAGCTTTTCAGGTACTGTGTCTAAACTTTTTTGCTAAGTTCAGTTAATAGAATGGCAAAATATTGACATAAATCAGAGAGATGGGTTTTCCTGTTGCAAAATGTGATTTCTTCCTCAATTGCTTCTCCACAGAATTTGTTCAACAAGCCTGCAGGAATGAATTCCTCTGTGGTGCCCTTGTCTCAGGGTCAAATCATTGTAAGCATTCCCTCGGGGGCAACGGTATCGGCAGGTGGCACTACCTCGACTGTCTCCCCCAGCTCCATGAGCAGCTCAGCTGCAGCTGGTCTACAGAGGCTCGCTGCTCAGTCCCAGCAAGTTACTTTTGCCCGCACTGTTGTGAAACTCAAGTGTCAGCACTGTAACCGACTGTTTGCAACCAAACCTGAATTGCTTGACTACAAGGTAATAAAGGTTAGGGCTCTGCATATGGATCTCTGGATAGGGAAAAACACACCATAACTTGGTACAAGAATCCAGTGGTAGTTGTCTGGTGTCTGGCTTTGGCAGGCTTTTGTGGGATTTTAAGTATAATTTTGATGTATGGCAGAACTGCCAACAAAATTGGCCCTGATTAGTTTCTTTGTTGGTTACTTCAGAGGAAAGGCCAAGGATTGACTAGCTATCTAGGCAGCATTCCCTCTTGCACATAGAAACAGTATCTCCAGCTCAGGAATAAAACACGTTGGTAGATTCTTCTTCTGTGGAAACATTCTGCTGCTGTTGAAGTTATACTTGTTCTTAAAATAAATGGGGGGGTAACTGTCCAGTATTGTCAATTAGTGATTTTAAATAGTTTAAAAAAAAAAAAGAGAGACTAAAAACAAAGCAAAGTTTGGACAGGTGTGTTCAAAGTTTGGTAATTTAATCATTTTTCTTCACTGTAGGGTAAAATGTTTCAGTTTTGTGGGAAGACCTGCTGCGATGAGTATAAGAAGAGAACCAGTGTAATGGCAATGTGTGAATACTGCAAAATTGAGAAAATTGTCAAAGAGACGGTGCGATTCTCAGGCATAGACAAGGCATTCTGTAGTGAAGGTAAGAAAAGGCAGGGCTGTGCATTAGGTAAATCAGATTGGAAAATGTATGCTATAAAATCAGAATAATAGAGGTGATGCTGAAAGAAATCTCATCTCTCAAATAGGGCTTTGTCCATGCTTTCTGTTAACTTGTTCATGTCAAGAGTGGAGCCATGAATAAACTCAAGGCATAGATGTTCAAAGACAGCTAAGTTTTAATAAAAAATAAATACATATTTTTTGTTCTTCCTTTGGTTTTTTTTAGGTTGTAAACTGCTTTATAAACATGACTTGGCTAAACGCTGGGGAAACCACTGTAAAATGTGCAGTTACTGTTTACAGGCTTCCCCCAAACTGGTCCAGAATCACTTTGGTGGGAAAATGGAGGAGTTTTGCTCAGAAGAATGCATGTCTAAATTTACGGTTTTGTTTTATCAGGTAAGCTATGGTTACGCATCACTGTCCCTGAAATTTAAATGTTATAGTTGGGGGAAACATCTCTTAAGGCCAAGATATTTATGAGCTCTTTACCATGGAACTGTTTCCTCTAAAGATCTTATTTAGCTGTGGAAGGTGTCTAAAAGAGCAAAATTCTGTAATATTCTGTAAGTTGACTTTTTGCCATAATTAGGTTATTTGATTCTTCAGTGCTGCTTGTTCAGTGTCCAGGTTGGGGAGACATACAGCTCTCTATTTTGTATTTCTCTATCACTGTAAAATCCTGTCTGCTGTTTAAAGTAGCAGCTCCTCAGCTTTACAAGGGAGATTTCCAAAGACATAAAAAAGGGTGGAGGGTTAGGTGCCCAGCCTTTTGTATAAGTGCTTCTACATCTTCTGAATGCCAGTTTTACACATAAGAAGGCCTTACAGGAGAGCACGGTATGATGTTCTGATTTATTTGACTGTTTTGGGTTGGTGCCAGTAAATTATGTATTCTTATATAAATTGCTTTGTGGGAGCTAACTGATTTATTCAGAGCTATATGGGAAGGGGATCACAAATATGTGCTCTCAGTTGTCCTTACATATGAGCGTTTAATTTTTGCCCCCTCTGCTTTTTGTAGATGGCCAAGTGCGATGGTTGTAAGAGGCAAGGTAAACTCAGTGAGTCCATGAAATGGCAAGGGGAGATCAAACATTTTTGCAATCTGCTTTGTATTCTGATGTTCTGTAATCAGCAAACTGTGTCTGAACCCCCTCCCCAGAACAACACAGGTAAAATAGGATGTGAGTCATCTTGCCTTTTAGTTTGCATATTGGTGGTATAATCATTTGGGAAAACCTCCGGCCAGTGAACTTTTCATTAGGCTATTTAGTAACGTCTGTTGCAGAAGTTCATAGCTTGCTTGCTATATAGGACAAACAGATTTAACAGAATCTTAGCAATTTTTTAAAGGTAAGTTAGTAAACTTTCTGACTGAGAAGACAAATGTGTACTGCATATAATCCCAGCTGTTTGTCTTTCAACCCTGTAGACATTCTGGGACTTTTAGAGCCACATTTCAACCTTATTGAGTATCCTTGTTAAGTCTAAGCTGTAGATACATACATTGCTGATTATTTTAGCCGGAGAAATGGGAAGGAGTGTGGGAGCAAAGCCAATGAGAAGAGGAACTATGAGTGTCTAAGAATTAAATGCGGTTGGGATAAGCACAGAAAGTCACAAAGAAATAAAAGAGCAGAAATAACAGTGACCCTAAAGAAGGGTATACTATCCCACTGAGCGAGTGCAACTTCAATGTTAAGGTACCTGACCCACAGTACAGAATATCAACTACAAGTTTACAATATGCATTCTGACCAGATTCTACTTTGATCCTCCTGCAAGTCTCTCTTTGACATCAGTGGAAGCTTTGTCCCAGGCCAAGAGTATCATTTTGCTGTCTAATTGATTTATACAGTACTTACAGGTCATAACTAAACACTGTCTGCATATGTGTGGCTGTTCAATGTATCTACATGGAAAAGACATCAATTTGTACTAAAAGTTGAGAGTACAGAGGCAGATGAGCAGCGGATACACAGAACCTCTGAAAATCAGGCTCCAAGATTCTAGTATAGTGACAGGGGCTGTTAATAAAATGGAGGGAGTCTGAAAATTACTTTAGATTGTGGTAAAGATGTGGTGCTTACAAGCAGAAAAGACCTAACAGCTCTTGACTCTAGAACGGCTTTGTAAGACAACTCTAAAATTAATTGCATGCCTTGCTTAGTTTCCCCACCACATTAGGGGCCTTTTCTTAGTGGGTCCATAGCACTGCTGTAAATGTTGTGCTTTAAAAATATTGTGCTTTAACAATTCAGCTGCTGTCCCATCTCAGCATCAGATGAAGCAAGCTGCTGCTTATGAAAGCAGATGCATCTCTGATGTTAGTCTGTAAGGTGCAGATCTACCCTACCGTCTGACTGTTGTAAATTAAGATAATAGTAGAAACAAAGTCCTTTTCATGCTGGGATGATTTCCTTTGATGGACTCTCACTGACTGGGTCATAGCTACTATGATTTGGTTATGGCAGCTAAAGAAAGCATCTTTATGATCAAAAACTAAGTACATTTTGATACCAACATAAAACTTTTCTAAGGGAGTGTGTGGTTGTGGGCGTGGGTCTTGTGCTTGTAGCAGGTGTAATAGATACATACATCTTGTTACTTCTAGTGCTGTTGCTTACACTGCTTTATTTTCTTCCATTCATTCCAACCAGCAAACCTTTCCACGGCACCAACAGCTGCAGCAGCTCCTCCTTCAGTAAGGAAGGATTCGACTCCTGTTATAGCAAACGTGGTGTCCCTTGCAAGTACCCCTGCTGCTCAGCCCACGGTTAACTCTAACAATGTATTACAAGGTAGAACAGCTAAATATGCAATTCCAGAGGCTTTACATCTTTTCCTTTTTTTTTTACCTTGGACCTTTATTTTGCTTTCTCACCAACCTGAGATACAGCATTAAAGCCTGCTCTAGTTGAAGACGATAAGTCTTCATCTCCATTTCCCTGCATGTTGTGCCTGCCTTTGCAGCTATGCAAAAAGCTGCTAAATCAAGATGGCCAGGTTTCACATGCTTGTATCATAAGTGACTATGCAAAGTTAAAAAAAAAATCAACAAAGACTCAGGCTCAATGGGAATTTATTCTCTTGACCCTAGGCAGGCAAGGTTCTTTGGGTAGATCTGATATCTTTTATTAGACCAACCAAAATATTTGGAAAAATTCTTCTTTGCAAGCTTTCAGGTACAAACACCCTTTGTCAGACTGAGGAAGCATCCTTAGATGCTTCCTCAGCTGAAGATGTCCTTAGACCAACATGGCTACAGCCTGTTCTCTTGACTTTAACAGCTTAGGGTGCTCCCTGTTAAAAATACAGGAACTAATCTTACGTTGTTCTAATTGACAGGTGCAGTCCCTACTGTAACAGCAAAGATCATTGGAGATGTAAGTTTTACAAGAGAAGCCCTCTCTGCTTTGCTCAGACAAGATCAAAAACACACCAAACTATTAACACATAGAGTATTTTATATCTAGTTCTTTTGCAGCTTGTATCTGAACTGCCCTTTTCTGACAGTAATCAAGATGTAAAATATGTGTCTTCACAGAAGTCTAGAAGTTTTACGCACACAAGTCTTTCTTCCTACATGTACTAGTAGACTGCTGATTTGATGTTCTAAGCAGCATTTTGCTTTATGGACACAAGTATAAATACGTGCTTCCCCATAGTGGAGCTTGTATTGTAATCTGGTCATGCTATTAGAACAGATCACAGAGAGAAAAATATTCAGCCTTGTATGCAGAAAATTTAGGAGCACAATTAATCAGTCTGCTTTCAGCAAAACTGATTCTAAAAATTCCAGTGTTCTACTTTTTATATTTATTCCTTCTCAGTGACTTTGCATCAGTTTGCTCAGTTTACTGGATTTTTCTGACTGCCAGCACTGTGACTTTAATGTGGTAATTGCAAAACTAACTTGGTCTTCTTGGTTCTTAATTTTTGTTAGCAGTAGACTCCAAAATCAGAATTTAGGAAGCAATATTTTATGTATCGATTCACATGCTCTTTTTTTGTTTGTTCTCTGCATTGTTGACAAGAACAAAAGTATTCTATACTTAATTGTATAAGTTAGCTGAATCTAACCAGTTTCAGATGATGGATGTGAAGGCACTCAAAGAGCAAGATGATACCAAATCCCATTTTTGCAATAATTTTTGTGGCAATCACACTCCAATAGTAAGGAGTATTTTTTTTATTAATTTCTCATTTTTAAATGACATCTATAATTAACTTGTATTGCAAGAAGTTTCTTTTCATACAGCCTTAGCCAGTAATAACAGATACTCATCTTTTTCAATGTTCTTTTCTGTTTTAAAACCAGGCTAGTACACAGACAGATGCCCTGAAACTGCCACCATCACAACCTCCCAGGCTTTTAAAAAACAAAGCATTGTTGTGTAAGCCTATCACACAAACCAAGGCCACCTCTTGCAAACCTCACACACAAAACAAGGAATGCCAGACAGGTATGTATCAGATCATCACTTTATCTAAAAAAAACAACAACAAAAACCCCTGTATTTCAGATGAACGAGAAATACAGTGTTTTTTATGAACAGGGAATTTAATATTTTAAAAGATAGAAAAGTCTTGATTTCCATGCAAATTTCTTGAAGTAAATGTGAAATGCATCATAGAATTGGCTCCAACTAACCTTTAAAAGGGTGTTACCATAATTTTACTTTTATGGAAAGTGGTGCAGAGCAGTTTAGCGCCATGTAAAAGTCTTGTGTCACACTGAAGTTAGAGCTCAGGTTCCCAACCTAAGATCACGCCCATTCTAATGATAAAGAACTTGGCTTTTCAAAGGTTCTGAACATGTTTAACTCTCAAAGATATTCAGGATGCCTGAAAACTGAGCCCTTAAGGACTTTGAATTGTATCTAGAATTCATCGCCATCATCCTAGAGCTAATATGCTATTGTTTGAATATAGAGCCTTATGTACAAAACCTCTGTTTTAGCCCCTCAGTGAATTATAGTTCTAACGATTCTTAATATCAACACTAAAATTTCACATGAAGATGCAAGCAACACGCTAGAGTAAGTACATAAAAAAGCTTGGGATACCAACATCTAAGTTAGCCTCTAAACACAACTGTATTAGTTGCATAGGCAGTTACTGAATAATCCACTTTTTCTGCAAGTAGTTTTTCATAAACATGCTAACTTTTACAGATGAAAACACAAGCATGCATGTGTCTTTTGAACAATGGTCTTAGAAGTTTTAAGGAATCCTTCTGAAACCAGCAAAATAAATAGGGAAGACTCTCTGATATCTTTTGGGACTTGGTGTTTTACTTTTGCCATATAAATGGGATGGAAGCTAGATAGTGAAGGTCAGGTCTAAATCGCAGTCCTCGCATAAACATAGGTATACAATCCTGGCCTGTTTCACCTAGCTGTGTCTTATTGCCTGATGGGTATTCCTCTGTTAAGAGCTGTGTGTTATCCATATATTTGTAAGTATGCACTATGTTAAGAGTCACTGGGGTTAATGCACAAGGCTGTGCATGGGAAGTTAGTGACAAGAGGCACCACTAATGGAACTGGTAATTCTGTGTGGATGTTACTGAATTGCCATAGATTCACTCGTTTTTCAGAACCTAACCACTTTTTTTTTTTTAATTTATTTTTAATATAACAGAGGAAGAGGAAGTTCAACCCAAAATCGTTGTGGTGCCTGTTCCTGTACCTGTGTTTGTGCCGGTTCCCGTTCATCTCTTCACCCAGTATACACCTTTTCCACTTGGGGTGCCGGTACCTGTAAGTTTCTCTTTAGCACATCTGAGAACTCATGGGTTATGTTTTGTGGCCTGCAGTTTTAAAGATTAGTCTCAACAGATCAAAGCACAATGTAGTTATGCTTGTTCTTCTTGCTATGGCTAGATAGATCCAGTAAGTAGTATTCAGGAAAAGAACGATTGCAAAAAGTATAGCTGCATTGACCTTGAGGTCATTTATTTCTAATAAGGCACCTTAATTCTGTACCTTTTATCCAGTGGTCCAGATCTAACCCTATCCTCAAAAGAATTGAGTTAGAGGACTAAATCTCTAGAATGTAGAATGAGTGTCTCTTGTGTATAATATAATACCTGATTGGGTAGCTTCTCCATTGTTTGCCCATGACTTCACATTCCTAGTAACTCAAGTATCACAAGTAGGTATCCCTTGTGATACTTTCAGAGGAAAAAAACATGGATTAATCCAATGCAAGAAACTTGGGTTCAATTTCAGATCCTAGTGTTTAGATCACAAGGTTATCAGAAGCTGGCAGTGCTGCAAAGGCAGCATGTTCAACCACTGAAGAAGCTCTTCTCTCATGTTTACGTCTATCCGACAGTGGAATGGAATCAGAGCTTGGGAGAAAATTGCAACTAATCCTTTATCACTTGAACAGTGTTGTGCATGATGTATAGTCTGAAACCTGAAATAATTATAAATGTTGGCCACAAGGTGGAAAAGGGACACTCAGGAGAGTTTTGCAGAGGGGCAGCACATTGTTCAATCTGCAGATGGGCTAAAAGGTTTTAAAAAAAAAAGTAGGAGCAATAGAGAGGAAAATAGCTGGATCCTTTTTCTGCATTTTCTGTGACAAAAACTGCTTAATTTTCTGTGAAACAAGACAGTGCTAAGAAAGCTGTACTTTCCTGTGTGTCTGTTGTAGGTACCTGTTCCCATGCTTATCCCAACTACTCTTGATAATGCTGACAAGATCATTGAGACCATTCAGGACATCAAGGAGAAGATTCCCACCAATCCATTTGAGGCTGATCTCCTTCAGATGGCAGAAATGATTGCAGAAGATGAAGAAAAGGAAAAATCTCACTCTCATGGAGGTAGGTGATCAAATTTAAAAGGAAATGCAAATAAATAGGATGCTGTGACACTGGCTTGTAGGCATATGTCAACTCTGCCTGGACTGGACCCCATTGCCCTGCATTATGCTGTGATAAACCTTTCTATGCTGTCATCAGCATTTTATTTGCCTAGGGAAAGAGGCAGTGCATTTAAAAGTTGTCTTACTTTCTAAGTTAGAGAAACCCAGCATGCCTTCTTGAGAGTTTAAGCATATAAGCAGTATAGGAATAATTTTCCTTCTATGCTGCGTAGTCTTCGTTTTTGTTTTCTATTCTAAGGTGATGTTTTTCATTTAAAGTTCATTCAGTAGTACTACTTAATTCCTTGTCTCAGGTCCTGATCTCCCCACAAGCCAGCTCTTGTTGTTCTACAGAAGTTTATAGGCCAGAACCTAGCTGAGCTGTGCTTGGCACAGAACTTGAATAGATGACAATGGCCACCATTTTATACTTCTGTGATCTTGAGGGCAGCATTCAGCTGAGATAACTTAGATTTGTAGTAACAGCTGCCTGTGAATGCTAAGCTGCTACCCCAGAGCTTTGTGTATTTGATGAAGAAGGATCTGGTAGCAGTAACATAGAGCTCTTCAACCTAAGGGCTTCCCAGCTGGACAGAGCAGAGATAAGACCCATGATAGGAAAGAAATGGACTGAAAAAAATGAAACAGAAGTTCCATTTGTCTGCAAAAGATCTCCCAAAAATAGCGAATCCTGAGGAATAGAGGGAAATAAATGTGTGTGAATAATTCTGAATCATGAGATGTTGTCCAGAGCCCTGGTAAAGATGTATTAGTAGAACTGTTTGGGAGGCAGATCCAGGGGGCTGAGAATCTGCACTAGCATGGCCCAAGATAGAGCTGTCCTTAAACCTTTTAGAACAGTTTTTTATGAGCTAAGAAGTTCTGCATTTTAGACTGCTGTTTGAAATAAGGCAAAGCAAGCTACTCACTATCCACTGCAGAAATCCCTCTGTATAATATTTTTTGTCTCTTTTCCGTCTTGCTCCTCTCCACAAGGATCTCAAACATCTGAGCATGAGCTGTTCCTGGACCCCAAGTTATTTGAGAAAGGTTAGTTTTTCATTACTAAATTGGACTTTGATGTCACTGTACCTTCTCTTTCAAACTTGCTGATCTTTGTCCTTCTTTTCCTTTGGTGTGTTACCTATGTGATTCTTTCAACCACAGACCAAGGCAGCACTTACAGTGGGGATCTAGAATCAGAAGCAGTCTCAACTCCACACAGCTGGGAGGATGAGTTGAATCACTATGCCTTACGATCGAATGCCATGCAGGATCCAGACCCTGAGCTTAGGCAATTCTCCAAAGGGGATATGGAACAGGACCTGGAGGCAGACTTCCCATCAGGTTTGTGTAACATGGAGAAAAAGAACTGTCATAAATATGTGCATGGGTTTCTGAATAAGCACTGTACTTTTCATTATCTTTACTGCAGTCAATTAATTTGCTTAAAAAGGCATATATTTCCATTCAACACAAACATATGTTAAAGCTGCAATATATCTGCTGTGTTAAAGATACCCCATCTTTATAAAATAGAACACACTTTTGCTCTCCTTCAAAGTAAACTTCCTTAGATGATTTAGGAAGAAATAGCAGTTACTCTTCTTTGACTCGTTTTAAATTTGTCATTTTGTGTCCCACCATGGCATGGTTTTTTATTGGACAAAAGAAGTCTCTTAAAAGCAAAAACTTGTTTAGTGTCTGGGGATTTTTCTTCCCCTTAGAATTCTCTGTGTCCCTTGTATGGGACTTCCTCCATGTCCTCTGCCTGAGCTTCCTCAGCTTATTTATTGAAAGGGACTTCAGCACAGTGTCATGTAATATGAATATCTACATGTGGAAACTCTAATTTTAAGATCTTTAATAATGTCTCAAACTGTCGTTTCTAGATGGGCCTGTTTAAATCATATAAATTAAACTTATGATGATGTTGATTTGACTTTAGACTCATTTGACCCTCTCAGTAAAGGACTGGGTCTCCACTCACGTTCGCGAGCAAGACGAAGGCATAGAGATGGCTTTCCACAGCCAAAAAGACGGGTAAGAAAGTATCCTTGCAATATATAAATTCCATGCATCTACAGTGCTAATGTTGCATATGTATTTTCTTGTCATGACTTTGCTCAGACATGAAAAAGAGTTTGGTGTTGAAAATGTTTACCTTCGCTGCATTTGTTTCACTCTTCTATTATACAGAATAATGTACCATTTTGGCTAGGGGGACTCCATTTTCTTTTTTATGTGGGTGACATTTAAACAGTGCTTAACATTTAAAATCAACTCTTTTTGAGCCATTAGGTTATACTCTGTTTTGTATGTTACGCACAAAAAAAATCTTTTGTGCATATGAATCGCGGGGAGTGTGGATTTGGAAGCACAGAACTGTGTTTTCTTTGTGTCTGCCATTGACTTGCTGCATATACAGAACTTTTCTGTTTTCTAATATCCCTACTTATAAAATGAGAATAATATTTGTCTGCTCTTGGTAAAGCTTTTCTGATACTTTCAAACAGATGCTTTTTTTATGAACACAAGCTTTTAAGAGTACAAGTTTGTCAAAGTGCACTGTACGTTTCCAGGGACGTCAGAGCAAAATGTGTCCCTTGCTGAACCTATGTTTTTTGGATTTCTTGCAGGGAAGGAAGAAGTCTATAGTTTCTGTGGAGCCCCGAAATCTTATGCAGGGTTCGTATCCAGGCTGCTCTGTTTCTGGGATGACCCTGAAGTACATGTATGGGGTAAATGCCTGGAAGAATTGGGTCCAGTGGAAAAATTCACAGGAGGAACAAGGGGACCTAAAATTTGCAGGTAAATTTGACTCCATTGTTTCAACAGGGAAAAAAATAGTTGGGGGGGGTGCTATTCTGATATACTTTTTGAGATGGATGTGCAACAAGCCTCAAACAACACACAAGCTCCCATGAGTGCAGTAAAGATCTTGGGAAACATTTCTTAATTTTAGACGCTCCTCATTCTTGAAAAGCGCACCTGTATGTTAATTTTAATGTTGTCACCTGTCAAAAAAAGACTCAGACTGATGTCTGAGAGTTGAACATTTTAAATAGTGCAAGCTTTAAGTACCTGAAGGTGTTTATTTTTATGCAGTAGTACTTGAGTTAAAGCATAGATATATTTATTCAGCTGCAGTGCTCTGGTTCAGCTGCATACTGATCCTTCTGTTTTGGTGCCATCTTTTTTGTTAGTAGTTAGGTATTAGGGCTCTGTGATACAGCACGTTCCACTTCGACTTCCATTTCAATGGAACAGTGTTTCGTGTAGAGTTTCATTTCAACAGCGCTGTTTCAATGCTGTTTCGACATTTTGCCTGTAGGCTATAATGGGAAAGCACAAAACTGCCTATAACTTTGTGATTTCGTACCTGATTTGGATGAAGCTTGCAAGGTTGGTAGCCCTTTATGTGGGCATGAAGCCTGCCAAGTTTCAAGGAGATAGGTGCAGAAGTTTCTGGAAAAGTGCACCTCAAGGTGTTGACAAGCAGGAGCAGCCTCTTGTGATTTGGCAGGCAGATCAGGGGCCTGCACCCCCAGGAGGAGTCTGGCACAGCCTCTGCAGCCCTCCCAGGGGTTTGGGTGGGCCCCCGATGTGGCTGCCGGATCACAGGAAGCTGGTTCTGCCACCTGGGGCCAGCAGCAGCACCAATCTTCCCGGCACTGGGTGCGGGCTGTGCCCAGCGCTGGTCCCAGCCAGCAGCAGCAGCCTCCTGTGATCCGGCAAAATTTTTGCACAGTCCTAGTATTTATATCCTACTTATATTCCAGCATAGCTCCATTTACTGTTTAACCTGTGTCTTTTAAGTCTAGAATCAGGCTCTGTATTTCTAGTCCTTTGATTTGTAAAAGAAATCTTCCAGATGTGTCCCAGAGCCATTCTGCAGCTTGCTTGAAATGATTTCAGAAAGACATGTACCATTCTTTTTGCATCATTGGAGTGTTAGCTAATAATGACTTGTTTTTCTTCAGTAATGAATCTTTTTAATAGAAACCTACAGGGATTGTGGCAGTGTGAGTAGAATGCCACTGCATCCTTTTTCCCATTCTTGATGATCTATGTGCAGGTGAAAACATAAACAGTTTTGTGTGCAAGTTTTTAGAGTTCAGTGAAAATGCAATTTGGAAATAATAGCTGGGGAGATTTGGTGGCAGGAAGAGAGCAAACTATTTTCCTGAAATGGAATTTGAAGGTTTTATGTAGGAAAGATCCCAGAGGAAAACTTGCTCATTAAGACAGGAGGTTGCACATGCACTCTCTCTCTCATGCTCGCGATATCTCTCTCTCTCTCTCTCTCTCTCTCTCTCTCTCTCGTGCTCTCTTTCGTTCTCTCTCTTTCCCTCCCCCATTTGGAATTATTTTGTGACATCTAGTTGATCATAGTTCCATCAAGAAAATAATCCATTGAGTTACTGTCCGTCCTATTTTTGTGGGTAAGAAGACACCACTTAACCCAGTTCCCAGAAGCCTCTTATATACCTCAAGCTTATCCCACAAGGGCTTTCTGTTCTATTCTGAAAACAGCAACTTTCAAATGGTATGATACGACCAAGCTCTGTAGTTCACATAGCATCCCCTGGCCCTTTAATCTGGAACTAACTTTCTTTGTTATGTTTGCTTTTCTTCCCTTTCCCAAACCTCTGGCTTTTTAAACTCTTAATTCCTTCCTCCCTTTAAGGAGTCGAACATGCTGCACCCAACTTATGTCCAAGGCTACTAGGAAATACTCAAGATCTTTCTTTCACTCAAGATTCCCCTGAGTCCATCTATAGAGGTGAAACTGATTTATCAAACCTACAGTGCCAGTCAAAGTATATGTAACCATTGCTGTGCCACATTTGCGGGTTCAGCAATCACACTACCATAAAGTCTCTCTTAGCTTTAAATACCCATTTTGGTATTGCTCAGCTAGACTGGTGGTTTGTAGTAATAAATGTGCTTCATAATTGTTAGTTAATAAATGGGAATGTGGCACACAATTATTTTGGACGTGAGAGGCGTTGTTTATTTAAACTGGATGTTTTAATTGCTCTGCCTGCATGATGTAAGTGACCACAGATATATGAAGGACTGACCTGCTGAACAGAGTTAATGTTTCTTGTACATCTGTTTCCCACAGTTCGGCCCATAAAACTCAAAGAGGATATTCTCTCATGCACATTTGCTGAGCTGAGTTTTGGCTTGTGCCAGTTTATTCAGGAGGTGCGGAGACCAAATGGCGAAAAATATGATCCCGACAGCATCTTGTATTTGTGCCTTGGAATTCAGCAGGTAATTCAATGAGCCAAGAAAAGAATTATGAGTTGGGGCAGGGGGGATTGAATGTGCTGTCCATGGACATGAATAGCTAATAGCTGTTAGGGCTTTTAGGGGAAAGGAACTTTTATGTCTCTCCCTCATTCTTAACTCTTTCACACAAACCTCTCACACCTCTTTGGCTAACCTGTTTCTTTGGCGTAGCAAAGTGAGCTGTTCTTTTCAGGGGAAGAATGGATGTCTCTGTCTAGACCAGTTGTTCTCAACCTTGGTAGACCCAAGGCACCCCTTGGAAAATGCTACCTCTTAGCTTTAATTAATTTTTCCACTGTGGAAACATAATAGAGCAATTGTTTTGTGGCAAAGAACTCAACAAAGGCCACAGTGGGACAAAATGTTTTTTGACACTGTGGATTTCTATTTGAAATCTGTGGGTTTATCTTGTGAATCATGTCTAGGTGTTTGCACACGTGAGTGCCATGGCACCCTGGTTAAGAGTCACTGGTCTAGATGCACATCTTTTATTTCTTATCTTGATTAATTGCTGTTTGTGGCCAAGGAAGCTATTCATAAGCATACTTTCTGAGAGAGCATATTCTGGGGATTCTGCTGAAATGCTTACTATGTTCTGCATGGTAAAGATACCAAAGTGGTTAGAGAAAGCCCTTTTAACTTCTCAGCAAGTATGGAAGAAGTCTCAAGAATGTGCAGCTGCCACTGCTGGGAAGCACTTACAAAATATCAGGAGAATAATAGAATTGGAGTTTACCATATTACCAAAAGTATAACCTATTATTGGGAACTGCTCATCTACCACAGGCTGAAACATTTAGAGTAAAATGCTAAAATATAAACGTAACCATTGAAAACTCATTGTGATTCAGCTCAATATGAAACCATTTTTTTTTCCCAGGGCAGAGTGTTTATTCATTCTCTCTGGAAGCCATTCTTAGATACAGGATCTAAACCTCCTGTTTGATGAGGGGCTCATTTGTCACCTTAACTTTTATTACTAGACATTCTTGAAAAAATGGCAATGCTATGAATTTGGATTGACTATAAGCAGTTCTGGGAAGAACAGAAGTTTTTCTTGCATTCTACATTTAATTTATTTATACATGCTATTTTTTTCTTCGTGCTGCTTCAGAAAAATTATATCCAAACACATTAGTCATTAAAGTACCATAGAATCAAGATACACAGTGAACATTTTTACAGGTTGCTAAGATCAAGCCTGATACTGGTTTGAAAGCCTGGAATCCCCATTATTGCCAAGGGAAACTGTCTTAATATTTCAACCCAGTTTGCTAGTAAGATACTAATACAGGTACTCTGGCATCTGTAGACAGAGCCTTTTTTGGGGGGGATACCTTTCATTGTGTTAGAGTAGTGAATTTTCCAAACAAGGTTCTGGAGCCTGGAATTCAGTAATTCTTGCTGTCCCTCCAATCTAATATGTGGAGGTCCCAACCCCTGCAGAATGTCTACTTTAAGGTCTTACTGGAGATGACAGCATAAAATCCTTTGAGTTTAATGCACCTGAAAGCATCCATTTGACTTAAAAGGAAGGCAAAGAGAAACAGGAGAGAACAAAATAAATCTGATGCCCTGTTACCTCTGAGCACTCTTCTGTGTAACCATGAATTGTGTCTTCCTTTCTTTTCTCTTGTAGTACCTGTTTGAGAATGGTAGAATAGATAACATTTTTACCGAGCCCTATTCCAGGTTTATGATTGAACTTACAAAGCTTTTGAAAATCTGGGAACCTACAATACTTCCAAATGGTAGGACAATTATTTTTCATATTGTGTTTTTATATACACATGCATGACGGTGAAACCCATCTTATAAATGAACATGTTCTCAGAGTAGGGCTCTTAGATAATGAGACTGTTAACTCTGCCAAGGAAAGTGTATGACCGTTTTACCTTGAGGCAGTCCTCTTCTCCCTCTAGTCCATGACAGTAATTTGTGGTGGATAGAAATTGTGGATCCTCTATCCAAATCTGCCTCTCACATGTGATACAGCCTCTGGCAAGTCGCATCTAAGCATCCCGGCCCCTGGTTACCCCCAGTTAAAACAAGAAAATGCTTCTCTTAAATATGTGCTGTGGAGCTTTGTGAATTAACATTTGTTAAATGCTATGCATTGCTCTAGCACCATAGATCTGTGGTTTGCAAAGTAATGTTATATATTCTCTGTTGTCTTTGTTTCCTGCAGATTTGGCAGCTTAGTATACTAGGGATGGGTGAGTGGGGGAACTTGTTTAGATTTAATTTTGAGAGAGAGAAGAGAGAGTGAAGAATTGGTTCAGTTTTGTTGATCCAAAGGTGGTAATTTGATAAATAAAGCTAAAACAGATGAACATACTGTAACTTGGATAGACTGAGTCTGTTTTCAGGATATCAAATATTTTTAAGTGATTATTATGACTGTACAAGGGTCTACAGCCAGCTTTTTCTGTCTTTATTTTAATTTTAAAAATCACCTATCTGCATGGTGTTACATGTAGCCTCTTGCTGCCTAACAGACCTGTAGTAAACCACCATAGTTTCTCTTCCTTACCTACTTTAGATTCACTGTTACAGCAGCTGACATTCACATAGATGTGGTAAATTTATATTCGTGCTCTATACCAATGAAGTATTCTGTTTGAACAGTTGATTGGTGGAGTAGGGCAATACTCTGCTGAAGTCTTACTGATAGAAACAGTGCTTAGACCAGAGGTTCCCAACCCCTGGGTTGCGGCCCAGTACCGGGCCACAAAGGATTGGCTGCCGGTCTGCAGGAAGGTTGGCTGCCGGACCGGAAGTCCAGAAGTGACCGGCATACTGCGGACCGGTGCCAACCCTTTTTTTATACTGAGTATAAAAAGGGGGTTGGCTGCTAGTCCACAGTATGCAGGTCGCTTCCAATCCACGGCATGCTGGTCCGCAGTTTGTCAGTCCGTGGTCTAAAAAGGTTGGGAACCTCTGCTTTAGACCTTTCTTTCCTTCTTTCACGTATTGCAAAGTCTTCCTGATCTTTACTTAAGCTTTTTCCTCATGCTTGACAGATCATATTTAGCCCTTGTGTAAGTGGGTATAGTGCTGTTGATTTCTGTCAACTTATATCTGTTTATGGTAAGTCTCATTTTGACTTGATGTACAACTCATTTACACACAAGGTTGGCTAAAAAATTATTCCATTTGCATAATTATGCATTTGTCCAACAGAGTCTACATTTTTAATGCAACTTTCTCCATAGGACAAGATTTTATTAGTTTTCCCAAAGCTCTGAAAAACTGCAGGGGTATCATTATAATATTAGGTAGGGGTGTGCGAAGCGGGCCCTATTCGATTCGGATTCAGCCCGAATCAGGGACATTGATTCAGTTTGTTGATTCGGATCACTGTCCCTGATTCAATGCAGCTGAATCTGAATCTGAAGATTCGATGCTGATTCAGGGAATCAGTGATTTGGGCACAGGCACAGCTTTAAATGTTTTTTCTACATACCTTGAGGTAGCAGGCACTGCTCGTGATTACTGTGATGCTGGGGCACATGGAGCATCCCACAGGAGTGCAGGGGCCTCCCCTGCATGCTCGGCAGTGAACCCAGAAGTGGACCAGAAATACTTCTGGACCACTTCCGGGTCCGCTGGGGAGCATGGAGGAGGGCCCCCCCATGCCTCCCTGGCTCCGTGATTGGCCGCAGGGGGCCCCCAGTGTCCCCTCAGACCCAGGAGGCACCAGTTGCTGAGCCGGGGGACACAGGAGGGGGGCCCCTGCACGCTACCCGGCAGACCTGGAAGTGGACCAGAAGTGCTTCTGGTTCACTTCTGGGTTTGCTGCCAAATGCACTGGGGAGCCCCCTGCGCTTCTGTGGGACACTCCATGTGCCCCAGCATCCTAGCACTCATGAGCCACCTGCTATCTAGAGGTACTTAGAAAAAACATTTAAAGCTGCAGGTATGTCTGAATCTCTCTGAAACGATTCGGAGAGATTAAAAGGTCCTCTGATTCAGTTCAGTGGCTGAATCTCCAAATCCGAATCAGGTCGAATCATCTCCACCGAATCAAATCAGGGACCGAAGCTTTGCACAGCCCCAACACTAGGTCATTGGGAGTTGCTTATTCATATCCAAGCACAGAAAGTGGCCCTTGCAATGTAATGCTTTTTTCTTAAATAAATAACTTTTTTCTTTCATCCATCATCCTCAGGTTACATGTTCTCAAGAATTGAAGAGGAACATTTATGGGAATGTAAACAGCTGGGTGCATATTCCCCTATAGTCTTATTGAATACACTTCTTTTCTTCAACACCAAATACTTCCAACTAAAGAATGTCAATGAGCACCTAAAGTTGTCTTTTGCTCATGTTATGAGACGTACCCGGACTCTGAAATACAACACCAAGATGACATATTTACGATTTTTCCCACCTTTTCAAAAACAAGAGATAGAATCAGGTATCTGACTGATTTCTGATTATTTTAATGTTTTAATTAGTATATACAGAGCAACAGCAGCACTCTCCCCCTTCCCCCATTTATTGAAAAATGAAGGAGAATTATATTATGCATTGTGTAGATTCAGGAGTGGTTTGGCTTTTGCTAATATTTTGTTACTTTTCCAAATGTTTTTTCACTTCTCCCTAAGTTTATACCAGAACTTTTTGCACGTGCCCAAATGGTCAATAGAAATTTGTGAATGCTTGTCTGAAAGATTATCGAGCATCATAAACTTCGTGTACATACCACCAACCAAATGTAGGAGGTGCATCCTCTTCAAGGCCTAGGTTCATTAAGGTACTTAGCACTCTTAACTCCCATTCAACTCCATGGCATGTAAAGTTAGTCTGCTTAACAAGATCCTGTTGGTACGATACACTGGATTAGGCCCAAAGAACAACAAGGCTCCCAGCTCTGGATGGTCACTGAGAGTAAAACAAGCCAATCGGAGCTCTTGAATGACAGGCTCAGGAAGTGAAAATTGTCTTCTTCAGATGTGAAGAGATTGTTGACTCTCTTGGACATTGAGAGGTAGTTTGCTGTGGATATTGCGTTGGTTCAGCAATGTGTTGCTAAGCTGGGGAAACCAAAAGGAAATCTGATTCTGAAGAAAATGACAATGAGCTTTGCTTGAGGAGCTGTTGATTGGATGGCATGTTTAACTTGTCCTTACAAAGTCGCTAGCCAGTGAGAGATACAACAGCAAGATAATTAAGCTACTGGCTACTTTAGTTAATAGTTCTGTTACGTGATTAATTCTGTCTTTATTAAGATGGATGTTATTGTCTACATGCTTTAGCCTGGTGCTAGTTCTTGTTAATTCCTCTACTTTTCCCTCTCAGAGCAAAATTCTTGACAAGATTGACATTGTGTGCAGCTTTATTTTCTGAGTGAGTGGCCAGAGAATATTTCTTAAGTGAATTTTAGGTGGTTTCTGCTGTTATAATGTCATTTGGTATTTTCATAGCATTCTTCATGTGGGGTGTTTTTGTATCTGATTAAATTAGATTAGTCGGTAGACTCTGGAAGATACTGACCCAGTTTGTGTGTTGGCTTGCACTTAGTGCATGTTTTGTAAATCAGTGCAGAATTAGACTGTTTGCACAGTGTTGAAATTTACTGGAAAATGTAATCTCTGTCCTGACAAAGAGCATTCACATGAGCAAGATATTACACTTGTTTTATATTTAAACTTTATTTCATGTTCTGTAATTACTACCGGTATTAAAAGTGCAGGGCAGGGTTGTGTGTTAATGAGTTGGAGTGGATAATTTAAGGATACAGCAGGTGGAGAAAGTGATCATAAAAAGGAGAAGCTCTGCTTTGACAGGAAAGAAAAGTGGGAATAGACTTAGGAAGACCATGCATTGTTACTCCACTGTTTTCAGAGCTTAGGTATGTGAGCAGTGATGGGGAAGGAGGGAATCTTACCAGTGCCTGTTTAAGTCAGCAATGAATCCAAATGTTGTTTAAGCAGCTACGTTCCTGATCCAGCAGATGGATCTGATTCCACACAGATTTATGCTACTGCATTGGATTTCTTTTTTGGTGATCAGTAACACGCATTGTTTTGGCAAAATTGTTCCCAGTGGCCTACTCATCATTTGCCAGTTTGAATGAAAAATGAGCCATCTCAAGTTTATATATGGTGCAGACCCCCATCAGAGTGCAGCAGTAAGCTACATGACTTCAGCATGCTTGAAAATGAGAAGGACTGGTTTCTGAACTCATATGGTATCATTTCCTGTATCCAGATAAATTATCTGTAGGCAAAAGGAAACGCAGTGAGGATGAGGAGGTTCCAACACCAGTGGAAATGGCTGAAAATACAGATAATCCCCTGAGATGTCCAGTCCGACTTTATGAGTTTTACTTGTCAAAATGGTAAGTGACAACAGAATCCACTTTTCAGATGGTATAGGGACAAAGATAAACCTTCCAGCAAGAAACCTCGTTGGGTGAGGCAGTTCTCTGGTGGAGCTTTCTCTAAGCCCCTGAGAGGATTTCCTTTTCAGCTACTAATGCCCCTAGCATCTTTTAAGAGTAATGAATCCCCCAACCCCCTGGAAACCAGGAGCATTCACCTGAGCCCTTTTACTCTGTACTGGCTTGAAAGCTTCTTATTTTCCCTCCCCAGCACCACACCTCAAACAGAGCCTTGAAGACCGCTTCTACAGTAGCAGTGCCTCTGGTTCAGCATTTGGGGGTAGTAATACAACTATGATTGGCAGTAGTTTTAAGTGTTTCCCATGCTTTGTGGGGAGGAGGAGGAGGAGGGGGAGATGAAGAGGAAGATGGAGTAACACCCTCTGTACTTTGCCCTTCTGCTTAAAGATTATTGGCCCAGCACGCCTTGAAGTGCAAAGGAAAGAGCAGTCCTACTGTGGTACTTGATGTCCCTGCCTCCTTTCTTCCCATACAGAAAACAACATACACATACATGCGGGCTCTTCTTTGTGGATCTCAAATTATCATTTGTCCCCTTGTTCTGAGAGGCACAACCAAGCTCTATATTGCTGGAGTCTGACCCAAGATTCCTTACATCACATACCGCATTCTCTGTGAAAGAGGGTGGGTAAAGTATGAAAGACAGAACACAGCCAGTGATGTTGACTTTATTTCCTGAAAGGTTAGAGTAATTTTTACTGCAGGAGTTACAAAGAAGTCTACTGAACAAGGACATTTATATAAATCATTCGCTGCATCCCTCCCACTATCCATACGTTATGCTTAGATCATTGAGCAAATGGAGTACTGCATTCTTCTCTTCCAAAGAGAATACACATGCAAGAGAAAGCGACCTCTCATTAGTGGTAGTTAATACCCTTATAAATCATTCTCTGAAACACACAAAAGTTTAGTGCACAATAGCCCTGCTCCTCAGGCAAAATCATGTCCAACAACCTTCTGGAGCTTTGCTGTTTTTTTTTTTCTCATGTCCCTTGTGTCCCCCTGCAGCGAGTAGGAGCCTTATTGGGCTGTCACACATTTTGTTGTACCAACTCGTATGACATTACAATTCAGCCTCTGCAGTGGTGCCTAGTGGCAGTCTGAAGCCACTTCCTGGATTTTAGTATAATAATACAAAGACAGTAGGGGAAGGAATTATTTCTACTGAGGTCTTTGCCTTTTGTTAGGAGAGGTTTGCAAGGCCTTTTCAGATGCCAAAGGTCAGTCTTTTCAAGCAGATGGGTTCACCATTCTACTATTTCTGCCAGATGGACTAGGATTTAACTTTGTTCATCACTGGCTGTTGAACTCTTAGTACTCTAAAGAATGCTGCAGAAGTGTCAGGTGTTCTAAGAAATACCAGAAATGCATTTAGCCTGCACATGTTTAACAGCAGTTCCCACAATTGTCTGCAATAAAAAAACAATTTTATTCAGAGACTAAATGCCAAATGCACCTGTCATATTAGCCCTGATAAAGAATGCCTTGCATTCAAAAGCTTTTCTAACTTTATCCCAATCATGCAGTTGGTCCAATAAAAGTTATTGCCCACAAAAATCCTTGCCTCTTGCATGTATTAAGACAATAATAGCAGTATCATCCTATTACATGGTATTGATCACAACTGAAAGGAGACACTGCCATTCTGTTTGGTTGTGTAAGCAAGCAGTGGTCTTTGAACTGGAGCTAACTAGGCCTCACTGGGTGCATCTACATGTGCCTCTTTTTTTAAGCGGGCTTAGCCTAAAACAGGGGTGGGCAATTATTTTGGGCAGAGGGCCACTT